CAAACTTTTAGCCCATAGCTCCATCATCTCTTGACTGATTTGAGATCCAATTATAATTTTGGACTCAGAAGGTCAAACCCTATCGAATGATGTATTTGACCACACCAAAGGTCTCATAGATTAATTTACTCTAATCCTGCCTTAAAGAATTTCAATTTGAGGGTAGGCTGGTAAAGAACTTGATGAGTAATAAAATCGAAATGGGAAAACGAGCACCCCACGGCTGCACACAAAAATATAGCTAATAAAAAGGAAAAAAAGGACTCGTAGATTAATTTACTCTAATCCTGCCTAAAAGAATTTCAAGTGCCATGGCTACTGAATATTCCCTCTTGTTTTAACATAACAGAATACCTAAATTGTCAAAGTCAATAAAACACAAGCGTTACTATCTTACACAAGAACTTCTGCCTAACACCAAAAATTCGAAATAATTAAACATATCAAAACAGCAGTAAGATATCATAATTTAGGTAATGTTAGAACAAATGCTTATTACATTTATAACATAAATATAGTACTAAAACAGAATGTAAAGTAACAAATTCAAATTATAAACAACAACTTTAGTACAGTGAACACACTTCAAAGAAATTAATTCCTAAATAAGTTCCCTCTATGAACTTCTGGTACACAACAAGCCAAATCATGTTTACCAAAGTTAATGAAATGCTGGAAAGTACTGGCAATATAAATAACTAAAAACATGCACACATACAGTGTTCAAGTATATACAACACTTTAAATATATATAATTATTCAACAATTTCTGTGGGTTTTTAGCATTCAAATATTTACTATGACACATAAAGTCCATTACAGTCACATTCTGCACCATCCAATATAAAACTTAAAAACAACAAGCAACTGTTCTCAATATAACTGATCTGAAATACTTCAAATCAGAGAGTCTATAAATTAAACTACTTCAACAGAGCTTGGACATGTATTGGTATATTTTACTGTTAAGGCTGTAATGTAAAGTGCTATTATCAAATAATGATCTAAAATTAATTTTCACTTTTCATTGCTAATAAGTTAGGTGCAAAGATATACATTCAAATGTTGTGTATGTTGTTGTTTTAATGCAAACTTCTACAACTACATCAGCTTAAAAGTATATATATATAATCCTTATACAACTTTTTATGTGCTTTCAATCCTTTACTAGCATCACCTTTCTGTAGTAGAACCAATAATGATTGCATCAACTTTCATAATTACTTTCTGACACGTTTCTAAGCACTACCTTAAGTTTCACAAAACAAACAAGTAAAAAGAATAATCCAAACAAGTTCTGTACATTACAATAGCAAAAACAACAAAGATTCTCTCATTTTAGACAAACTGGTGCAAATAGGTCTTGGGTTTTATATTTAATGTTTCTTTACTGCACTAAACTATTCACATTTAATATATCATCATTAGTTTATTTACCATTTCAATTTGTCCCAACAAAAAAGAAAAATACAGTTATGTAAAAATTTGTGACAAATGAGTGGAACATGAAAATAAAATTCTATTTATGTAACTTGTTTATGTAAAATATATATAGCACAAGAAACAATACATATAGCAAATTTATATACATTCAATACACAACCACCACCTATAACAATGAAATAATCTTTTATGTAAGACAGAAGATTTCGTTCTTCTTTATCAAAGTGCAAAAACATGGATAACACACATACATATATATATAAGTTTATACAAGAATAAGTTCATATTAATGAATTGTACTAAAACAGACGATATTGAAAATGTGGCAGTGGACTTTTTGTCTCTTAAGTTTTGCTTCTTAAATCTTGTCAAACTATCATGAGTGTTTAAAACCTGTCTAAACATAAGGTCACAATGAACATTGTACTCTCTAATCTGATGATCTTTGACTTAGTAGAAAACAACTTAGTAGGGTTCATCCAAGTAGCATAACTCTGAAGAAAAGTTTAGAGAATGAGAGATAGGTCATTGAATTCTTCTACTTGTTTCAGTAAAAACGAAAAGACAACATATTTCCAAATAGCAGAACACCATAAACAACTATATATTTTTTTTGTAAAAGCTGCACAGCAGCTTACTTAAAAGAAGCTAGTAAATGGCATATAAAATAATACAATGAATGTACATTTAATATGAGAAATTAAAAGTATAATAACAGAAAAAAAATTTAAATGATCATAAGAATATTAATTGGACTTTAATTATTAAGCATTTGCTTGAAATTTCATCGAGATTTGCAAAAGATTCACTGGTCAGAAATCCTAATATTATCAGAAAATGAAGGACCACAGATATGACAATAAGTTTGTTCATTTACAGTAGGCATATTCTATTAACAGCATGAAACTAAAATAAAAGACTAGAAAGAAACTGATAAAAAAGTCAGGTAGCATAAATAAAGTTCACTTACATAAAAATAAAACATGATCACATAATATATTTATCTATTAACATTATATACAAGGCAGGACAGACATTAAAAGACAAATGAAAGCAGATTATTAAATGCTTTAGTCTTGAAGCAGTTGTCAGCTTGAAGATTGAAATGTTGTCTCGTACTATACTCCCCCCCAAAAAAAACAACAACACAACAACAAACAAAAACATTAGGTGAATAGCGACTTGAGTTGTAGAATTTTAATTTAAAAATATGAATCATGAACTTCCATATGAAACAATACATTTTTTAAATTTTCATCTTTACTGTTAAATCCAAATTAATGTGTATAAAAGATGCACATGTGAAAACAATATGTTTATTGAATGCCTGACACAGTCAAACATTGTTTACATGTAAAGCCTGACACAGTCATACATTGTTTACATGTAATGCCTGACACAGTCATACATTGTTTACATGTAACAGATTACTTGGAGATGATTTTTTCTGTGAGACGTTTTCAGTGAAAATGTATTGAGAAGTTTCAATTTTTTTCATTTTTGTAGTAAATAATAAACTAGAAATGTGGCTAAAGAAACTTCAACAGAGGAAAGAAACAAAGAAGTGAAGCAGACTGCTGTAATGTTTTGTTAAAGGGTGTAACTTATGCATTGTTGTTTCTATGGACAGGAATTAATGCAAACATATAATGTCATACTGTTTCCTTGGAGTGAAGCGTTAGCTGAAGTTTACTGTACATCATTCTCTGCAATGTTATTCAACAAAATAAAAACATATGAACACCAATACAGTAAAACTTGACTAGAAAAAAAAACTGAACCAGTATTAAATGGTACTTTACTTTTGTTTGAATCAGAATGGAACTTTCGCAAAAAGAGCCTAAATTTCGGGTTCTGTTTGAAGCCAAACCAGAAAAAAGAAATCTGGTTCAAATCAATGATTGTCACATTTTTGAAGTAGTCATCACATGATGGTTGGTTTGTTTTTATTTCTGTCTATATTTTAGCTTCATGCTCTAATAAAACACGCTTATGTTGACATCTTTTACTGGACACGTTTATTTTGGAAGTTTGTACATAATTCCACAAGAGCCATTAGCACTAGCCACTTCTAACTTTAAACTGATAGATGGAATGCAACTTGTGAACAGCATCTGCTGCAAAATTTTTAGGCTACTCTAATAAAACAGCGGGAATTTAATACTGGTTTCTGTCACTACTTTCTCAATTATCCATTTGAGAGCAAATATTTTAAAATAAAAATGCTGTACCACTCACACAGTAGCTCATTTGGTTTTGTTTTCTGTTTATTCATCATAAATACCTTGAGAAGAAAGTTAACAAGAACTTTAAAATAAGAAACTCCAAAAATTCCAAGTCAATGCTGAGAGTTGATCCATACTTTGAAATAAACATATCCTGTCATCATCATCTTTAAACTGAAATATAGGCAAAATGGAAAATACGTGTAAAAAATTCAGATAATGTAACTACACAAAAAATAATTATGATGTGTTTACAAGAAAATATGACTGTTGTATAAAAAAAAATAGTAGAAAGCAGAGATCAAAGAAAGCTGTAAATAAGCATGCTATTTAGCTGCAAATGAACAAACTATTCAACAGAATTGTAGTCTCTTCTCTGACCAAATTTGATAAATTCTGGAAACTTTACTTAATAACTTCTAATTTTACACAGAAATAAAGTCATACAATGCTTGTTAGTAACCAACTACTTAAACTTTTGTATTATGAGATGAATAGGTTTCTTTCTTACAGAACAACTTGCTTGAGGGGTGCCATTTATGTTTGTGTGTGGGGGGATCTTTATTTGTTTCCATTTATTTATTTCCTTTTAAACAGTGTTACACCACAGTTGATTACTAAGAGATGATTTTTTAGCTCTTGTTTGTTTGTTTTGAATTTCACACAAAGCTACACGAGGGCTAACTGTGCTAGCCATCCCTAATTTAGCAGTGTAAGACTAGAGGGAAGGCAGCTAGTCATCACCACCCACCGCCAACTCTTGGGCTACTCTTTTACCAATGAATAGTGGGATTGACCGTCACATTATAATGCCCCCACGGTTGAAAGGGCGAGCATGTTTGGTGGGACGGGGAATCAAACCCGAGACCCTCAGATTGCGAGTCAAGTGCCCTAACCACATGGCCATGCCAGGCCATTCTTTAGCTCTAACATATTATATATGTTGCAAACCATGGTGTCTGTCCAAGCGTTTGTCTGTCTCCTGTCTGAAAAGCTGCACACACAAGCATAGCTCAATATTCACTTTTTAAATGACGGGAGAACAGGCATGAATAATGTTGAAAGCAACCAAATCTTATTTTGCAAGCAGGATATTCTACACTAAATTGTTAGAAATTAATTACATTTCAAAATGTGGCATAACTTAAAGAATAAAAATGTAGATTTACCATATGTTATTGTTGAGCTGATTTTAGTATGACTGAAATGTTCAACAAATACTTTTTGTGGTGGGCGGTATAAATATCCCAGAGCTTTGGCTCTGAGTGAATCCAAGAGTGCAGTACAATTAACCTTTTAAAAGTCCATGAAATAATTCAAAGTGATAGATTAACTTAAACTTTTCCTATCACTGGGGACGGGTACTTTTGCTTGGGTAAATAATATTCCCCAAATTTTCAACATTTCCATCATAATCTCATGCCTGGGGTAAATGAATTGTTTAATTCTCCCTTCCACAATATGAGACAAGATAAGAAGTTTACAAAAGTAATCATTGCCAGGGTAAGTATATTATATTTTATGAAGCAAAATTATTTATTTCTAATAAGAATACTAAACAATTTATCCAATACTTATGTTAAAACTCCAAGACTGATATATCATGTTAGTGAGAACAGTAATATCTTATTACCTGTACATTATGAATGTATATATAAACTTAAAAATAAGGCTTTATTTGTTACTGGATATGCATGCCACAAGTGCTGAATGTTTGGGTTCAAAAGTTGCCTGTTTGTCCTCCGTTGGTAATTTTGTTATTGTATGATTTACAGGAAACAACCACAGAAAATGTTCTCATAATATTCTACGTTTTTACCTACAAAATATAAAGAGCTTCCAAGGGACTAAACAGCATTCCTCCCCACACTGAAATATGAAATGGCACCCCTGGCTTGCTTGAAGATATATATATAAGGCTTATCTCTCCTAAGTGGCACTTCATTTATCTTGTCACACAGATCATTCCAGAAGAGTCCTAAACAAAGACTCAAATTTTCTATATAGAATAATAAATTATTCTTTCAGGCATATTTGTTTTACTTGAATATTTTTGTTATCACAAGTTGGAAGGCATTCCAGAACTAATAACTCTTGGTCCCAAGTCGCAGTTCTACTATGCATAATCAAAGATTATAACTGTTTAACTTTCTTTTTTACAGTAACAGTAGGGGAAAGAATTAAAGATTTATTTTGTAAAAGCTTTAGACATGGCGTTACAATGCCATAGTAGTTCTCTTTGCATCTTAACCACTTGCAGTTTTATAAAAGCTATCTTTTGGTATGATAACTATTAGTAGTAAATAAGACAGAAGAAGCAATAAGAAAATTACTAACAATTTTAGAGCTATAAACAACTACAACACCCAAGTCAAGTATCAAAAGCAGTATCATAAAACTGAGTTATGATATGTTTCATAAAATTGAAATAATTTAACAATATAATATAGAAGAAACTATTAAAGATAGCAGTGTATGTTTTACTGAATAATTCTGACAACATATTGAATCGTAAAGTGAATCATAACATATATGTTCTTACCATTGCCATTTTACAATATCCTGTAAAAGAATGATGCCATGATTGGACGGTGTTACCTTTGCTATAATGTTATGCTGCCAGTGTAAGGACATGGCTTTATCTGCTGTATAAAAGATTCAAGTTTTTCAGAACAAATGACACATCCTACATTCACATGCCAACACATTGTTTTACCTAAAATATTAAAAATACAAAAGCTTACAGTTGACTATAGTCATGTTTTTTCAGTACAGATCACTCCAATAAACTGATATCAAATAGTTTGCTGTCACATGAAAAAGTAACAACTTTTAAAGGCCCAAACATTAAAAATGTTCATCTATTCATTCTGATCATTCAAATCTAAAAAGAAAAATGATCAAGCAACAATTCTTTAAAAAAACATTCTAGATGTTGTTTGAATTACATGCATTAATGGAGAAATGATAATAATAATGAGAACAAAAAAGAATTTCCTACACATCAGGAAATCCTACTGAAATTCTTTCAGTACGTGAGTTTAGCATCAGTGGTTGAACCAGAGATTGTTTTCCATTTTTCCAACTCATAGAAACATTATGTAGCTTCTTCAAACTTTCTAGCGACAATGTCACTCTGAAGGCGAAACAGATCCTCGTTGCTATAAAGGCGTTTCATACCTCGTGGTAAACTTCGACAGGACTGAAGATTTAGAGTACGAAGTAGACTACACTTGCTCAGAAGTGTTCTGAGGGTAAAACATAAACAGAAAACTATCATTCTTAAACTTTAAATCTAATTAAATCACTCTTGAGAAACCATGATGATAATCTTAAAGTAATAATAACTGCTTTGAATTAAAGTAACAGATGCAACTAAAATGTTAAGCTTTTGCAAAAATTACAATACACAATAAATATTCTTTCCAAAAATGATGGAATATTTTACTTACCTTACTGTTTCAATAAATCAGTTTTAAAACTTATTTTGAAATTTAATTATTCTATATTATTTCAAGTTGTATATGAAATCTTTGACACCCATTCCAGAAAAACTATTTCTTATTTCCATTTTCTTAACTTCCATATACTCCTGTTGCTTTCTTCAATGTGGCATAAACAAGATTTTGTTAAAGAGTAATAATATTAAGGCTACAGATGGAATGTGTACATCAAATTCTGACCTTATGTTCACAATGTTTTGCCCTGTGACACTTTATATCAATGTAAAGTAGTAATTTTTTTATGTTAATAGTAGAATCTACAAACTGTTGGAAGATTGCACATACACAAAATAAAATTTAGTACCATTATGACAAATTATAAGAAATAAATCACTTAGTTATTATACGTTTTGAGCAATCAATCTTTATTAGGTGTGTTAAATAAACATGGCCAAGATTGGTTGTGATAAATACAAAAAAATATATTTTTTATTTTATTTAATATGAAGTTGTCTAATTAAACCATATGTCGTGTTTCAGAAAATAACACACTGCAACTTAAGCCTTTCTGAAATGATAGTCCCCGATTTGTTTTTCTTCTCACAGTGGAAATATTTAACAAAATTGCACAAAACTTGGAACAAACTTACTGTGTAAGTATCTAGTTCTGGCTTAAAAAAATTCATGCAATTTAATTTTGTTTTCCATTATATCTTATATTATGATAAAATTTCCAAAATTTATTGCAACACTTTTTTGATAAAACACGATAAATATTTCCTTTTGTCTTAGAATTTCATTACTTTTATTGTTGATCAGAATCAATACATTTTATATATCAAGATAATTTCAACTTTATTGATCTTTATTCACATGATTTGTTTTGAAACTTTACTTTTCTGATTGCAGTAGTCACCACTTACAGCTATAAATCATAAAAAACGCTGCATGAACTGACGAAGGTTTGTTATCGGTGGCCTAGAGCCCGACCTTCCAAAACGGAATCAAAACAGTTTATGTATATATTATGTTTGTTATCACTGTTCTTGGACATGATTATAATTTATATATATAATAAACCATTTCTTTTCAATAAATAATAAATTTATGTGTATTGTTTGAATATGATAAACTTAGTAATCAGTACGATAAACTAATATTGAATACATAAGGATTAGCCATTAAATTATCTTGTCGTTCCCTAATTTACATGCTAAACCTAACTAAGCTTACCTGGTGTTTTGTCACAGAAGCAAATTTCCATAGCTTTCAAACAAATATAATTTGATACAAAAATATTTTTAGGTACAATAACAACTAAGGAAACTACAAAAAAACATTTCTACATCTGTGGTTTGTTCCCAAGTCTTCTAAACTTCCCGTTACATTGCACTTTTATTCCTTGCAGGAGTCAGGTCTTTTCACATTCTCACAAAACCATAAATCAGTTTATTTATTACTTTATCTAACCATATACACTTTAAATTGACAGAAATAGTTTATAATCTGGTCAATCCAATGGCATTTAAAACTTGGCATTTAACTATTTTCATTAAAAGTAGTTAAAATAATGTGCTGTGAAGTTATAAAAGGGTGGGAACTAAGGCTGTGTTCTAAGATTCATCCATTAGTCAGGCATTTAAGGATAGGTCTAAACATTCAAAAGTTTATAAGATAGAACTAATTTCTGAATAGTAATCACACACATTAAAAGTCACTCACATGGAAAGTTCAATTTTTTGAGTTGTATGAAAATAACACACATTTTATTTAATATGAAGTTGCCTAATTAAACCATATGTCGTGTTTCAGAAAATAACACACTGCAACTTAAGCCTTTCTGAAATGATAGTCCCCGATTTGTTTTTCTTCTCACAGTGGAAATATTGAACAAAATTGCACAAAACTTGGAACAAACTTACTACAGAGTATCTAGTTCTGGCTTTCTGAATAGTAATCACACACATTAAAAGTCACTCACATGGAAAGTTCAATCTTTTGAGTTGTACGATGTCCATTTCTTCAAAAAACGTTGTGTTAACCCCCCCCCCTCCTTAGCAGCTCCTTTCATGCATTATGGTAGAGCACATGAAGGAACAGCAAGAGAAGTGGTAGAATAAAGACGAAACATAAAATTATGCTAACACTAATATAATACTTTTCAATGTTGAAGGAGGTGTACTGTTATATGTTTAAATCAGTCAAATATGTTGTTAAAAGAAGTGACTGATAATAACACTATCTATTGAAACCTTCTGTCATTGTTGAAGGTCTGTAATTTATTTTCTAATCTAACTGTTAATGTTGATTTATTATTATGTTAATTAGTATGTTTAATTAATCAAATATTTCATGCTAAAGGATCATGACTATTAACCTGCCTGGAATGGTGACTATTAAATAAAGATTTGTTTTGCTACAGATAGTTGCAGTACTTTTAATTGGCCACAACAGGGTGCTCTTACAATACAAGCTTACTGTATGCAGCTATATGAATACTGAATGTGACATCGAATACATATACATAAACAAAGTGTATTTTTTTCTCAAATATCAAAAATGATTACTGTTCTACATAATGCATGTTAAACTACACATGAATGATTTATCTAATTTATATGTATTACTTGTAAACATATATAGTAGTTATGGTGAAATCATCAGTAAATTATGCAAATTAATCAAAGGTCAAGGTTTGAACCTTTGTTACTATCCTTGATGAAATAAGACAGCATCCTAGTAAAATCAGTGACAGAGAAGTAAAATCACATAATTATACTTTGAAGGAATGATAGTTTCTTAACTAATATAAACTTACTGTTTGGGATGGGCAGAAAAATTATAAAAAGGTCAAAGTGTGTGTTGTTTATATATTGCAGATACGTACAGAAACATAAGATTGAAACTTTTAACATTTTCTTTGTGAATTACTCTACATGAATTTTGTAAAATGAGTGAATATTAATTTTAAAATAGTTCGTTACAGGGTTGGAATTCATTTTAAAAATAAATTTTGAAATTTGATGTGTGTGTGTGTGTGTGTGCATTGACAGATGACCATGATATTGTTGATAGTTTTCATCATTCAATTTCATATGCAATTTAAATTATCAAATAACAATACTTAAAGAAACATTCCGTGCTTCCAAACTAAATTAAACTTTTCAAAATATTATACACAAAGCTTTATCTGGACTTATTTTTTACCTTCCTTAGATTAAACTCCAATACTTACTTAACAGTTGAATAGGAAACAGCACTTCCACTTAGGTCCAGCATCCGAATTGAACAACCATTTTCTGCCGTAGCCAAAGCTTCTATAGCTTGGTTGATAGCTTCTTCATTATTAGCCCACGAAAGATCAACAACTTCTAAACTATGACTCCACTAGAATTAAAACAAAAACAGATATGCTGAGAGAGAGAGTCTTAAACCTTTTTTATAACCCACTGCTCAAAGTCTACTAGACACAAAACACATGGTTCATATATCCTTTGTATTATAAGACTGAATAGTACTTTTAATAAAAACGAGTCATTTTTACATGTTTCACAGTTTCAAATATGCTTTCTTGAAACAATTATCACACACATTCAAACTTAAAACTTCACATATGTTCAAAATATCTTGGCCAACTCATTTTCTTCAAGACTTTTCTTTTGCATACGTGCAATACAAAAATACAAGTTGAAAACATGACATGAATTGTATACAGTTCAGCATTACTTTGGAATTCTGATTACAGTTTGTGAACTATATATTAATGATATACAGAAATGTTATGTACACTCACCTTGTGATAATACATGGGAAAGGAAATACACAAGTATTAACATGTATACCGGAGATACCTTCATTTCTTAAATAGAAGCTTTAACTCCTTACCATGTTGCTGCTTGTGACAGAAAATATGATGGTACAGTAGAATCTAAGAAGGGCACATATCAAATAATGATTACCTTCTGTAAGACTAATTCCAAGTTAGACATCCGAGCTGCAGCACTCTGGGCAAGATAAAGATGCTGAATATCCCAAGCTGGCACATGAACCAAACCCGATACAGAGATATTACGACAGCCTCTTACATCCAGAAGTTTTAATTTACGGGAAGCTTTAGTTATCCTTCAAATAATAAAAAAAGGATAAATCTTAAGTACAAAATTAAATTAATATATTTTTACTTTCAATATATTGCATAACCTCAACTAATAATATGCTTTCATTAATGAGACAATAACATTGACAAAATGAAAGCAAAAACTTGACATTCTAATTTTCTTAAAAAAAAAAAAAAAAGACTACTTATAAAAAAGAAATGTTCATTGTGAAAGAAGTCTTTCATTCAATATCAAAACTTATGATTTAAATTGGAAATTCAACAACCAAATTTAACCCAAGTTATTTTCGTATACAGAACTAACACTACGAAGTTATGGATTCAGAATTATAACTGAGCAACTTTGTATTTAGAATTTTAATTTTGGTTTGATTTAGCATGAAGGAAACTTCCAAAAAAAGCAACAACAAAAACCTTATGTATTGAACAACATTAAGTAAGTTTAGAAAAAAGTTTTGGCAGAGAAGGCCAGACTTGATTGGAAAACTCTGTGGAACGTATCTGCGTAAAGCAGGTGTATAAGTTCAAAGGCTTAGAACTACTATTAACCCTTTGAATGCTGGCCTGGTCCTTTTGGTCATGTTATGACATTTTACAGTCTTACATTTAATATTTAATTAAACAACTTTATGTATGTGGATAAACTTGGCATGAAAACAAGTTTATAATTCAAATTTGTGTATTATTTAAGTTTTAACTTCTTAATTTCAAAAAGAAATATTTCAAAAATTCTCAATCTTCATTTTTCTGTGTCATATGGTGCATTTGATTTATTCTTTTCAGAATTTTCTAAAATCAAAAATTAAAAACACACACTATAAATAATATATGTATATATATTACAAGCAATAATATAAAATTTGAACATGCTACCTTTTCTGGGATATAAATGAACTTGTATAACCCACCAGAGAAGCCCATCTCATTTTCCTTAAAAAAAGCAGATTCTCCTCTACATAAACCTTACAAGCTGTTTAATTTTCCCATTGGAGACTTTTAGTTAGCAAAGATGTTTGGCTGTTGTTGCTCTGAATGCTAAAGGAATTTTGTAACCTACTTATAGGTTACTTAGAAATCCCAATAAATTACAATAGTTTTGGGACATTTTATTCTAGTGACGGATATATGTTTTGTGTTCTAAGATGTATATTTGAAAACTACATTTATTCATTTGTGGACATCCAAATTTGTGAGACTCAACAAAGCTTAAAGAAAAAAAGTCTTCAATTTTTATCCAAGTGCAAACAAGCATAAGTATGCTGTAAGTATTACAAATCTTTATGTCATAAGTATGCTGTAAGTATTACAAATCTTTGTTATGTCATTAGTATGCTGTAAATATTACAAATATTTGTTGTTATGTCATAAGTATGCTGTAAGTATTACAAATCTTTGTTATGTCATTAGTATGCTGTAAATATTACAAATCTTTGTTGTTATGTCATAAGTATGCTGTAAGTATTACAAATCTTTGTTGTTATGTCATTAGTATGCTGTAAACATTACAAATCTTTGTTTTATGTCATAAGTAAGCTGTAAGTATTACAAATCTTTGTTGTTATGTCATAAGTATGCTGTAAGTATTACAAATCTTTGTTATGACATAAGTATGCTGTAAGTATTACAAATCTTTGTTGTTATGTCATAAGTATGCTGTAAGTATTACAAATCTTTGTTATGTCATAATTATGCTGTAAGTATTACAAATCTTTGTTTTTATGTCATAAGTATGCTGTAAGTATTACAAATCTTTGTTATGTCATTAGTATGCTGTAAGTATTACAAATCTTTGTTATGTCATTAGTATGCTGTAAGTATTACAAATCTTTGTTATGTCATTAGTATGCTGTAAGTATTACAAATCTTTGTCGTTATGTCATAAGTATGCTGTAAGTATCTTTGTCATTATGCAATTATAAACTTCTCAGCTTATTAAAAAAAAATTTAAAAATTTCACAAGTTCAAGATGACATCTCACAACCATTTACTCTATGAGAAACAGCTAATGAGCTCCTACTGTGATTTATTGCTTTTGACATGAGCATTACAACTCCCAGGTACAAAGTACAGCAATAACACTATAAAATTAAAATGAAGCAGACTGCAAAAGGTTAACACTGAAACTGCTGAGATAACTAACTTGGAACTTTCTGATCAATAACTGCAGTCAGTGCAGAGGAAAAAATGATATCAATATGTTTTAACTTTTCATTTCACTGTGCATTGATAACTTCATTACAGTCAATGTTACAGTAGTAAAAGCAAGAGATAAAATATTAAGTTTTACCAAAAAATATCTGATATTCATTTAGGAGGTTCTAGAGGTTATGCAAATGAAATATAAAAGGTGTAAGAAAAAAGAAGTATTTTATTCTTAGCATGAAAATTATCTTTTAATCAGACTGACTCAGTAAAGGCTCTGGAAATTCAAATCTTTAGTAAATATACTTTATTAGAAATTATAGTAACATGACCAAACCCATGAGCAGGTGGTTAAAAACATATTCAGTTCATAAAAGTATCCAATCAATAACACGAAGTATGGCTGATTGATTTGTAAATTTTATGCACAAAACCATTCTTATTCTGAAGCTTGAATACACAAAAAGTTTAGCTTTGCTCTCATTCAACATGAAACGATGATTACAACTACTATCATTCCAGAACAAATACTGGAGGGCTTTATGAAATGTTCTTGAAGTACTTTTCATACTAAATATATAAAATCATTCAAGAATAACCTGTTGTGATAACTGTACCTTTCTAGTCCACTGTCACTAAGACCTGACTGATAGTCACTCTCTAGAGCAATGCTAAGTTCCTCTAATTCTTGAAATCCAGGTGACTGTGCCTAAATGTGAAAAAAGCACATGCTGAATAAAATATTTTTGAAACTTACTACAGATAAGTAGTCTGTATGGTAAACATTATTTTTCACATAACAGACTATTAAATTCCAGTATTTACCAAGACTTGCAAATATGTATTTATTTAACATTATATGACCTCTAAACACAACAGATATGACTAAGTCTTAATAAAAAAGAACCAGCTTTTCTTACAGACAGCATTTCACACATAATTACAAATCATTATTCATAAAGTATAAAAACATGACATTTTGCTAACTAAACAGCCAAATTGTGGATGGTTCAGTCTAAAGATGGCTACAGATTCATTACCTAATTTGTTAGCTTTTTAAGGAACGACTAAGTCTTAAGTGAGAAACTGTTTTACCATACTATTGTCATTACATCAACAACAGGCCTACAACAAAGATTATCAAAAAATAATAGCAGATCAACTATGGTTAGGCTTAAATTAAAATTAATCAAATCAGTTTTATAAAAATGGCAAAGAATTATCAAACTTAACAATAATATTTCATTAGTTTACCTGCAAAAGAACTCCAATACTTCAAAAAATAATGAAATAATGCTGATAGGTTTGTGAAAATACGTGTACAATAAAGCATAAAATGAAACAGACAAGAGACTAATCCAAAAATGAATATGTAAAATAAGCTCATGAATTATATATGAAAAAATAAAATTCATTTTCCTAGCTTTAATCTGTAGAGCTTCATCATTTCATTCTCCCAAAATTTAAACTTGAGTTAACATTCCACTTTTGATTTAGTTTTATGTTTTGTTGTACATATTTTGTTTTTTAACAAACCAAATCAGGGTTACATCAAACGTCACACATCTTAGTAATACACAAGTGTACATATCTTTAAATCAGATGGTGTTCCAGGATGCTTAACTTTATTTGATTTAGTTTTATGTTTTGTTGTACATATTTTGTTTTTTAACAAACCAAATCAGGGTTACATCAAACGTCACACATCTTAGTAATACACAAGTGTACATATCTTTAAATCAGTATTGGTGTTCCTAGGATGCTTAACTTTATTTGATTTAGTTTTTTAACAAACCAAATCAGGGTTACATCAAACGTCACACATCTTAGTAATACACAAGTGTATATATCTTTAAATCAGATGGTGTTCCAGGATGCTTAACTTTATTTGATTTAGTTTTTTCAGTGTGCTGCATAAAGGAAGGCTGGGACCGAGCCTTTATATTTCTTTATATTTCCTTGAATCATTCTTATTGTTTAGCAATTTTTGTATGAAATTCTCCTTAATGTTAAATACTCAAATATAAAAACCACCTGTCTATACTTTAATCATTTGTTCAGTTACATCACAATGATATAATAACCAACAATACACTATCTTATGTGTATGAAGTATGCTAGAACTCAACACACTTAAAATACTCTGAATATGTTAATTCTCCTGTTACCAATACAAATGCATATGGCCAACATAACTTTACTGATTGATTAAATAATGTGTATGTGGTTAGTAGAAAAAAATAATCTAACAACTGATTGTTAATTAACTGTTATAACTGTGTGTGTGGAATTTCTTTTATAGCAAAGCCATATTGGGAATTGAACCTCTGATTTTAGCATTATAAAACCACAGACTTTCTGCTGTCTAACCAAGGGACATTGCTATAATTAAGACAAAACATACTCATGTTTGAAAAAAAAAATGTGATCTAATTAAAACAATGAACCTAAATTTGAAATAATTTATCAAACTAATGGTATATTCAATGGTACTTTTCATACATTTGAAAAGTTACCTTCATATTATTTAAACTACAGATCTATACTACTGTTTCAAATTATCTGGAATAGAACGGGCCAATAAAATAAAAACTTTTAGGTTCACAATAAATATCTAACCTAGTGCATCAAGACGTAAAGATGGGAATTACCGTAAGGAACATGTTCATGTAGGAGAATTTATAAAGTAAGCAGTGGTAAGCTGCAAGTTTTTCTTTCTTTCTATATATTTATCTAAAAACCCAATTTACAAAGATTGTGGAACAACAAACAAATCCATTCAAAATTTTATTGTTTTATAAAATTTATTTTGTTTA